TTATTCTTAATAATATATAGTTTAAGTAATGTATTTTTATATCTAAATGTAATTAATTAACAATAAAAGAAAAAACATCACATACTAAATAATTACTTTTTGACTTTTTAAAAAACAACTGATGGAGTAGTTATCTTATCCGTAAAGAATATTTCGTTATCTAGTTTCTCAAATATGGCTCACATACACCCATTAAACTTGACTTGAAATTGAAATTGAAATTGAAATTTATTGATTTAAGCATTTAACTTAACGAATTTTAATATGTTACAATTAAACAACAATATTCACAATTCTAAGACCCCTTAAAACATGTATTTCAACTCGGACAAACCCCGCGAGCCGAGCCATGCCACATCAACAATCACCATACGTCCATTATAACCGAAGTCTATACCAACTCCGTTCACCAAACAAGCCCTCGGCTTTTCCGATGCATAAACCACCATCTTCCCGCACCCTCTAACTCCAACCTCCACCACATTTTCACCATCATAGTTCAGCCACTCGATGGCACCACCGGAATTCATCATGTTCACCAACCCGATCGGAGCAAACTCCACCGCTTTTGTCCCCACAACCTTCACCGGTGACACCGTAAGCAGCTCATAGTTGAACGGTGGTAGACTAATCTCCAAACTCTCCGTACCCTTTAAAAGCTTCAAAGTTTTCTGTCTGTGCATATACACAGCAAATACACCGACTCCTTTTATTGGAACCGAATTCTTCCCACTTCCGTTGCTCCACTCGATGTCCTTCGGGCTCACCAAACAGGTTACCATGCATTTAGCCTTGAAAACGATCTTGTTCTGCCTTGACTTACTGCACCATCCTCCTCCTTGACAATTAAACGCCCCCAGAACTCCGGTGAACTGTCGATTAGTTAAACCATGCAGAAACAACGTAAGATAGTTCATAGTTTTAACCAATTAAGGAGTCGTTGGTCCAGAGGTTACCCAAGGGTTCAAACAGAAGTCATGAAAGCAAAATAAATCAGTTTTGCTTACTTTGTTGAGATTCCAGATCTTGAGCATGGACTTTCCATCATGTGAAGGGTTCACAAACAACGAGTCTCTGGTTGGAAGAGCATAAGATCGACACCGTAAAATTGATCCATCCGGAAGCACCAGCTTCCTAAGTAAAACAAAGTCATGGTGGCCGACAGAGTCGCTAACATAAATGGGTCCACCAGAGATTGCTCGAGACGCAGCATGGAATTCAGCAGACGGATGAGTCGATTGGAACATGTCCCAGTCGGGTTGAATGATATTCCCCATCCATAAACTATTGTAGGCACAATGTACCATATGTAAACCTTGCAGCCAGTGTTCCACATTTGGATCGGTACACCAGAAATCATCTCCTATCATCAACCACGAAATCACTTTCTTATTAGTAGAACCCAAAAAGATGGAAAAGCAATCCGTAGTAATAGTTTAGTTCGTACCTACGCGTCCAAGCGCAATGGCTTCGGTTCCGAGATACATGAAATCGTTGCAATGCTCCATGCTAGCAATCACACAATTGCCTTTAAGATGTTTCTTCATTGATGCGGTTAAAGCTTTGTAATAAGCTTTCGCAAGCATAATCCTTCCCCCAAATTTCGCCCCCAACATTTCCAAGACCTGTGAACAAATATGTGAAAAAATATCCATGTGTGTGTAGTTGTGTACCAGGATACGTGTCAAAATAATAGGCCACACAACACATTAGAAACTAAAAAGGTCGTGGAACGAATTCAAGTTGCTCACTTGAATGACGTCAACTTTGGCACCGTCGATTCCCGTCGCTTCAAGATGCGAGTGCAACCCTTCATACATATCGCCAACTTTATCCGGCGACACCACCCCAACACCGTGCCTTGCGATCTGATCAACCGCCAAATCCTCCATCGTCGTCTGCAAACCCTCTCTCATCATCCTAGGCTCAACTACTTCACAATTCTCCGGCGACATCCCCGGAAAATTCTCTCGTAAACCACTCCAATAACCACATAAAGTATGCCACACGTACACATGTTCTATGCTCTTGAATTCCTCCTTTAGGTCGCTCACAAAGGCACCCATACCCTTCTTGTAGGGCACCCTTTTACTCTGGTAATCCCTAAATTTATAATTCTCTTCGAATTTTAGCAACCTGCATGGCATTTGTTCTCCGGCGACGGTGTAATTCATACCTTCTTGCTGGTCGTCGGGATTGTCGGTGCAACTGATGGACTGCCATCCGTCGTCTATGAGGACAAGCCCCGGCGGACACCCACCTGCGGCTAGTCCTTGTACGCCTTCCCTTATGCCTTGAGGGTGTACCTTCAAGTAAAAGGCATCCCAAGTGCACCATCCAAATGTGTCCACCACAKCCGGCACAGTTTTATCTTCGAGAAGATTGAAGGTCCCTAAATGGTTCTTGATCACCCGGATGGCGTCCTTAACCATCTGATAAGGGTTGGTGCCGACGTGGATGTACACACAGCTTCTGAACGTGGATCTCACCGAAAGATTGGACCCACTGTCCATGCAGATATCCACGTCATCATCGTTGCCAGGCTGGAGGGAGGCTCCAAATGGTCCTTCGAGGAGTGGAAGTAGCAGAACATACGGGCGCCCGAGATCCGACTTGTCAAGTAACATCATCTGGGTTTCATACTCCATATCTTTTCCATTGTTTCCAATCCAGTTTGTCGACCACCACACCTTGAATCTGAAGATGCTCATGAAGGCGATGCTTCTCAATTTTCCAATGGGAGCCACGTGGCGGCTTCTCGGTTTGTCGGCGTCAAATCCAACAAAGGATCCGATTATGTTCCGGGTCAAGTCTTTGGAGTGGAACGGGGCGGGTGCGGATATGATGTTGAGAGGGACATGAGTGAGAAACGGATGGCCGTTAGCTAAGAACTGTGTTCCTTCAAGTGAAACCGACGAACAAACGCCACCGTTTGGAACCCCGTTCAGAGCACCATTACTCGAACTCGGAGGCATGGATCGGGTACAAGTCGGATTATCCGGCAATAATCTTGATATTAGGTATTATGTCTCCTACGGCTACGAATGGGGAGGAGCTTTATAGACACGTAGAAGTGAAGAGAGAGTGTGTGTTTTGGGACACTATAATGTTCTGGAAATGTTGATTCGTTCTCGTAGATACTAAAATATGTGTGGCATATTTGCAAAGGAACACGTGTCAGCATTTGCCTATTCACACAATATTAACTTTGTGGATTCTTTCGTCACTTCTCACCCCTCCTCACCTCCTCAAATGCACTCAATTTTTTAAAATTTTAATTTTAAATTTACAATTTATATCTTTATAATTTTTTAATTGATTACTTTATCTCTTTTTTTTTATATATTTTTATCAAATTAACGTACATAATCTTACATCAATTAAAATATATTTAAAAAATATATTTTTATTTTAACAAGTTATACCATTATAATCATTTCGTTAATATCTTCGAAATTAGTCCAATATTGAATAGTTTTTATTTTATTATATATTATATATACTATAAAAAATATTTTTAATATTTATACTTTATATCTTTATAA